TTGAAATTTTCACGAGTGGACAAAGTGTCTCAACATTCGAACACGTTGTCGATCGAGCACAACGGCGGAGAAACTTTTCGCGAAGTTTTCCTCGTAAGTTTCTCGCGGGACACACGTCTGTTGGAAGAAATATGGACAAGCAAGGTTTTTCCCTGGGAAAATACGAGAACACCTGACGGCGGGATCGTATCTTCTCATGGAAAATTGTGCTCGATACAATTCACGATTTTATTGTTTCGTTATTTTTATATTCCTTCACCCTTTCGAACGATAACTACTTGCTTCGTCGATTATTCTTCGATCCTCGAACATCTTCGTCTCTCGTGAAATTTTTTCACTCGACAACAATCCTCTCTTTAATAAATTAATTAAAATTAAATTTAATAAATTAAATTTCGTATCATTTTTCGTTGCTTTAATCCATTATAACCGTGTTTTATCGGATATCCTCCAGTTTTCGAGTCTATTCCTTTTTTTTTTTCAATTCGATTTTGATCAAAATTTGTGTCCCCCGTTTCGATGGTCACGTGTAAATTTCTCGTTTGCATTTTGAACGGTTTAATATTTCTATTTTCATACGCGTTTAACGCGTTTATTGGGGAGACAAAAAAAAAAAAAAGAGGAGGAGAGATTGAGTTGAAAGTCAGAGCGATTTCGAAATTGTTTAATCTCGAATTTGTTCGATATCAAAGCCAACGTTCTCGAGTTTTCACTTTCGCGGTGTAATAAAATACGTCATAGTCAGACGCCCTGTGGTGTAAAGTAGACGCGACGTTTGCGGCGCAAGCTTGCGGCATTGCTTGCGAAGGCAGGACATTAAGCACGGCTAATTTACGCGCAATGCACGCCTCCTCTATCGATTTTATATACTATACCGTACTTTTCTGCAATTTCTCGGTTCAGAATTCTATCTATATTGTCAATTCTCTGTACAAAATCCACGCAAGACGAGCAATTGATGTAATTGTTTAAGCTGGGTTGATTTTTCATATATTCAGATGTAACAATACAATATTTTGTATGGAATTATTGGGAATTAAAAATATAATTTTCCCGTCCATCCATTCATCCAACATTTGTTTTAATTAAAAGTATTTTGAATATTGTCGAATAAAATGCAGGAAGTCTTAAAAAAAATATATATATATATATGATTTATATTGCGAATTAAAGTTATAAATTACAATTGATCCTGCATCAGATTAAATTTTAATTAAAAGACCCCTCATATTGACGATTCTCGTTATTAAACGACGATTCGAGACGCAAAAAATGATAATAGCTGAAGAAGAGAAGAATCATAAAAAAAAAAGAGAAAGAGAGAGAAAAGAATTGGTAAAAAAAAGAAAAGAGAAACTCATAGTTGATACAGTGAAATGAATTCGTAAATGCACAAACTCGAGAGGAGGAAATGGGTAACCACGGTTTCGAGGGCACGTATAACCTCGAAGAAAAAGTTTTATCGTTGTACGTTTGCCCGATAAGGAGGAGTGGCTCGTAATCTTTACGCGATATCGTGAAAACTCTTCCTGTCGTTCTCCCTCATCTCCTCCCATCACTTCTCTTTCCATCCTATTTTAATGCGATTCACCGAAGAAACTGAAAGTAATACGCTCTCAAACCGAAGCTTCCCTCTTCTTTCCATTTTACCCTCTTCCCTTTTTATAAAAATCTAACAAGAAAAATTATCGCTCGAATCGTCGCGGAAACTCGCGGTCGGTGAAACGATTGTGCGATTATGGACAACATATAGCACAACAGATAGCGTTGAATTTTTCAATTCGAACCTTCCTCACAATGATCGTCGAGAGAATCGATAAAGAAACAAATTCTTTTTCTTCTCAACTCGAATGTTCGAATCCATCGTCACCAATTGTTTCGAAGCTGTTCGACGAAATTCTTCTCGGGGATATTATTATATTTATATTTAATCCCCGTTTGTCGATTCGAATAACTCTCGCTTCATTTTTCGTTGCAAGTCGCAGCGATAAAGTATGATTGACACGCGGGGATATAAGGTTAACGCGTAAGGGGAAGTGGCTCGTGTATAGTCAGACCGTGCTCATTCCTCTTCTCTCTCACTCTGACTGTTACTTGAAAAATTGTTTCCGACCGAAGATTGATCGAATCTTACGTTTTTATCCCATCTCCCCTGTATTGTATTGTAAATGATGTCGATTTACTTACCACGTTCGTGTTACGTGGAAACGAAAAAGATGGTCGAACGAGGGAATATATTATATTTTGATCGTTTGTCAAATGATATGTAAAATATTTTTCCAACTAACGAATTCCGATTCTTTTGTTTCAGGTACGGTGACATGGTTCCGAAAACGATCGCGGGAAAAATCGTGGGGGGTGTATGCTCTCTCAGCGGTGTCCTTGTGATCGCTTTACCGGTGCCTGTTATCGTCAGTAATTTCAGCCGAATATATCACCAGAATCAGCGGGCCGATAAGCGAAAGGCGCAGAGGGTGAGCGTGAAAATTTTTCTCCTTTCTCTTTTTTTTTTTTGTTTTTTTATTTTTACTTTTATTTTTTTTTTTTTTTTCATTCCTTATCGAAGCACCGCCATCCAATCAGCAGTATCAGGATGGAAAATGATGGCGGATTCGAATCACGGGCCATCTATCTTCGCGTTGTTAATCTGTTATCGGTAAACGCGTGTTATCGTAAACGAGCACGTTACGTTTCGAAATTTAATTCGACCTTAATTCCGGCCCGATCCAGTTGTAATTCAACGGATCGCCGACGAGTGGAACGAATCCGAGTGGCGAATCCGATTAACATTAATTTACGTTCCATGGAAATGACGGAAGGTTCTCCATCCTTTTCCATATGGATTTCTTTTTTTTTTCTTCTTCTTTCTTCCCCCCTCCCCCTCATTCGATCTCGAAGCGGAGAAAACGAGGGATTGAATATGGAAGTATTCGTTTTAAGTTAGTTTCGCGAAATGTTTTTTCTTTCCCCACCGTCGTGTCCACGAATAACCGTTTGCACGGACTTTATTTCTGGTATCGATGTTGTCTTTGGATCTCTAGTTGCCCGATCTCAAGGCCATAGCCTTGCGAAACACTTTCGACAGATTTCTTTTTCCCCTTTCATCGCGTTTGAATCGCGATATATCATTTTAAACTCGACCCACTTTGAATATATTGAAATCAGAATTTTAATATTGGTATTCCTACGAAGAAATTTTTGGATTTTTAATATCCAAAGGCGAGATATTTCGCATGCGAAACGCGGAGAGGAACCAACCACCTGGTGGATTCAAGCATGCTCTTGGAGAGGAGAAACGGAGTGTACATGATTAATTCCCTCATTTTTTTAACATCGCTTCTTCTTCTTCTTCTTCTTCTTCTCCTTCGTCTTCTAATATAAATAGAATATCCGTCTATTTTAAAATCCTGTTCCAACGTCAGATCCAGAATTAACGCGCGTGGAGTCGTACACAGCTTTCCATGTATCGCATAATGACAAGATTTAATTCGACGTTACATAACGTGATCGAATTGGGCTATATCGTCATTCCGTGCGGTTATCTTACCGGGTGTCACCGGTGGTCAGGAATGCGACCAATCGATTAGAACGAGGCTGGATGGAGAAAATGGAGCAGGTGACGGCAATTTCGAGTCGTGGTGGCCGATGGACGGATTTACAGCCGTCATTTCGACGATTTATTTTCAATTTCTCGAATTTTTCGAATGTTAAACCAATTTCCAAAACGAAACTCGACATTTCGCGGAAAAATCCCGAAGTCTCATTTCTCGATCAAGCGTCTGAATTCCCCCGTTGCCCGATTTAAACTCATCTGAAACAGAAATAAGTCGTCGCATTGTCTTCTATTTTCACATCGAACGAGTATCGGATATTTCGCCACTCGCTTTATTTATTTTTCAATTGAGAGGGATGTATAAAAATCAGTATAGGAACAAATACGTTATAATTTACAACGAGTAGGATAAGATGGATATACAAATGGAACGTGTCGTGTCGGCAGATTTCTAAATATCATACGGGACAAATTTCCAATGATCGAATATTTGACATCTATCTGTCGATTCTCTAATTCATCTTCGTCATCGTGTTCTACACGAATTCCAATAATGAAAGAAAAAAAAAAAGAAAAGGAAATCACAATCATCTGATCTATTTTCAATCGGATAGCCGACATATTTTATTAGCACGAACATCAAAGAGAGGCGGGAATGCTAATGAAAAAACCTCTACGATTGCCTCCTTACTTTCCAGAGCCGAAGGGGGAAGCTTTAATCGTCGAATGGAAGTCACCGATTATCTTCAGGGCGCTTTCGTTCCGCGACTCGCTAAACCGGTCAATTTGATCGAGCACCCATTAAGCCCTCTCCCCGAATAAATTTTCCTCCTTTGAGCCTGCTCCTCCCAGTTACCCTCGATCGCAATTGTTACCCGCAATTGTTCTCGTTAAAGTTGAAGAGATCGTCGAGCTTGTCTTGACACAAAAAGATCCCAGCCGCAGCAGTGCGTTTTCCATTCGACAAATTGCTCTTGGAAATGTTAAACGGGCCCCCCTTATTATTTTCAAGCTCAACCTCGACGTTTGGATCAAGAGAAAAAAGGAAAGATCGCTCGAAATTAATAATAAAATTTTCTTCGACTTTTCATCATCACAGTTCGAAATAATAAGCTTCGTCCACGAAAGATTCACGAGGAAGGATCGTTTTGCTCGAATGAGAGGAATGGAGACTTTGGCTGGCAAAGTTGAACCTGTAATTCCTTCTGCCTGAGAAACGGGATCAGGAATCTTTACGCGAAAAGAGAGAGAGAAAGGGAGAGAGAGAGAGAGCAGAAGTTTGGGTTGGCCGATGGCCAGCGGTTACCCTCGGTTCATTACCACTATCCTGTGTTCCGCGAGAGACAGAGGCAGCTGGCCGAATAAAGTGGAGGCTGGTAGGATCACGGTCGGGCAACTTCCGGCCGTTTCGCGGGGGTGATTGATAGCGATTGTTGCTCGGCAGTTGTTGCCTGTCCTGGGACAGGCAGAGGATCTTTTCGAGATTGGGACCGAGCTTTCCCTCCCTATTCGTATAAAATTGTCTCAAAATGCATATCATTAGAAATTATTCCAATTACCATTCATCTATTTCTATCTTTACTTAAAAGATAAAAAGATCCTTACGATTTAGTTTCCAGCATTTTGGTGTAGATATCTAGATATCCTAGGTTTCCTTGATTAGGAAGAAAATTTTTCACGAGAAAATTTCTTTTTTCTACCTTCGTAAAAGTGGTACATTTTCCAATTTAGTTTCAACCCTGTTTAAAGCCTGTCAAGTAGCGCCCTCGAGTCCGATTAACAGTCCCAGAAACGAATTTCTCTTTGTAACCGTGCCACGCATTGTTAAAAAAAAAAAAAAAAAAAAAAAAAAAAAAAGAAAAAAGAGAGAGAGGGAGAATTTCATCTCAACTTTCGTAACTTTACATAACTCGCTTTACTACCGCCGTTTTCAAAGCGGCTTTTTACATATAAACCCTTTTCACACACGTTTTTTTCCCCCGACCGACCATTACCACCACCCCGGCTTAACGTAACGGCGAGAGGATTCGCTTTCCTCGAAACTTGCACACTTCCGGTTCACGTTCACGGAGGGGAAAACGCCGTTTTCTTTCACTCGTTGCCAAGTTGGCGGGCGGAGACGAAAAAGAACCGCAATCGGGTTTCACTTTTCGCTCATTACGTTGAAGGGGGTGAGAAATTCCAGCCAAGGATCGAGGAATTTTTGCAAATTAGGGGGAGGATAGTTTCCCAATTCGACAATTCCACCCCGAAATCGGAACCCGCTTTCTTTCGCGCCTCCTCCTCCTCCCCTTCTCCCCCGGTTTAATCTGCAATGCAGATGCGTCCCATCTACATATGCATGCGGTTTCGGACACACATCCTTCCCTCCCTCCACCCTCGTTCGTTCTCGTCACCTGCCCGGACGAGATTTGATTTTTTAATACCAACTTTCCTTCCCCCTCCCTCTTCTCTATTTTGTTTCTTTCTTCGTTCTTTCTTTCTTTCTTCCTCTCCCACGCGTTCGAGTTTCATCGAGAATTCGATTCGATGTTCTACAGGATATTAGGAAAGGAGAATATTTTTTTTATGAAATGATAGAAAGGTGTACAATTGGTGATGAAATTTCTGGTATCAGGCAGGCTAGAATAGAGTCTTTGAGATTTAAAATTGGGTGGATTATGTAATGGGTTAGTCAGTAAGAGATTCATTTGTGAATAGAATAGAAATTTGAGAGAGGGGAGACAGAGTAGGTTTGGTATTTAATTACAGTTTATTTTTTAGATTGCATTAACACATTTTTGTTGTTATGTGTATATAATTGCTTTCGTTCGTACAGGTGTAGGCATTTATGTGATCAGAGTGATCGATCCAGAATTAAATTCAATTAATATTAATTGGATATCGATGAAAATTTCTTTTCTTTTAATTTATTTTATTAGAGTATCGTGATAAGGAATTTTGGATTTTTACGAATTTAGAATGAATAATTGAAAATCGACATAAATTTCGATCGATCAGAATCGAATCCACGGAAGGAAACGATAAAATCGTTCAAGTTGCATATTTAAATAACGCGAAAGATTTGAACAGGAATGCGATACCAAGCTGAACGTAGCTTGTAAATAAATAGATTCGACGTGGAGGATTAGACGGGCATAGACGAAATTGTCCGGTTTTTGCCTGCGATCTGGCCTTCGGAGATCGATCTCTGAACTAAGTTCGGCCTGGTAAGGATAAACAAATATTTGAGAGAAGCTTCCATAAGTAAACAGTTGGCTTGGTGAAACTTCTCGTCCCGTGAAACAAACTCTACACCTCCTAACTTTACCAGGTCCGGTTGCTGCATAAATTTCGAAAATTTATTTCTTTAAAAATACCAATTCCCTCGAGTTCGATCTATTATTTTACGAAACGAGTCTCAACAAATATTAAAGGAAAGTAATTTCGCGATTTAAGAATTTAACTTTCTTTATATATCTTCTATAGTATAGAATCCCGTGGAATTTTATCTCCCCTTCCCTTCGAAAATTTCGAAATTTATTCTTCTTTAAAAATACCAATCTCTCCCTCCTTCGAAGTATTATTCTACCAAGAATTAAAATAATTAACTTCGCAGTAGGAATTAAGAATAAGACGCCATGTTTTTCTATACAGAACCCCATGAATTGGAATTTCTCTGAAAAAAATACCAACTTCCTCGTTCATTTATCAATTATCACGGAAACAAAGGGATGCAAATACAAAAAGAAAGTAAGTTCGCGATTAAGGATCGTCTTTATTCCACCCATATGAGAATTCCACGAATGGGGATCTCGTCCCTTATTCGCTGGAAGCGATATCGAAAAACGATCGAGGTATCGAAAATCGTTGTGTGCGAGTGCGTGATCGAGGAGGGAGGGGAGAGAAGGAGGGGAAAAATTGCACGGAATATCGAAACAT